TCTATGATTCTATGATAAAGGTCTGTTATATCCAACCCTCAATGTTGGACAGTCCATATGGGTTAAAGAGGGTTGAGTGATCCCCTGCATCATTTTACGGATGCATCCTGGATTATCTTCATTTTCAATCTAATACAAAGTTCTGTGAATATCCTTTGTAGATGCATTTTAGTTGCATTAAGTATTTTTCGGTAGGTATTGGGGAAAGAATTAGTATTTTAAAAAAAGGGGTGAAAAAAGCACCAACAAACTTGTGGAGTTTGGTGGACGATATAGACAGATGGTAGAACTAGCTTGAACATTGCCAGTGGTGGTAAATGATGACGTGATGTCCGTTCTTTTGTGTTTTACACAACCTTTGACAATATGATAGCCCTGCTTTTTGAGCAATGGGCTGTGGCCTTGATATGTCTGCTGTCGTGTTACATTCAGAACAGGCCTTTCTATTAATTGATAGCACAGGGCAAATTCTTTTGTGTACAATTTTTTTTTTCCTTACCGGAAGAGTTTAAAACACAAAACCTCTTGTAAAAATTCCACTCTATACCAAAGAATTTTCCAGGTGCTTATCATCGAAGGGCGAGACTCTGAGAAAAGAACCTTAGAAGGTTATGAACCCCTGCGGAAGTGGTAACAGTGTACAAAGGGCTCCATTCTTGCATATCCTGTTTTATGTGGTCTTAGGAGAAACTACCTTGTATAGTATTTAAAGCAAAGGAAAATCGCATTCTTAATGCATTTGTTAAAAACAGACACTTGGATGTTTTTTAATCATCACCTCGTAGACTGGATATAGGAACGTGGCTGAGCATATCAAACAGCAGCCTGAGAATGTTTATTAATGAAATCTTGGAGTGGTTTGAAATTGGATGTACCAAAGGCATGTGTACTCTAGTGAGCAGCTGTCTCTGGTGGTGAACTAATCTGATGAGGGGGAAAAATTGTGTTAGAGAGAATCTTTACAATCCAAAATCAAAATCTTTCCAGCATTAAGGGAGCTTTATTGTAACCCAATATTTTGCACTGCAGAGGAGTGACATTTAACAGTTTTTGAATAACAAGCATTTAAACAGCTGAGAAGGAGGGGAGAAAGAAAAAGATGTGAAATGGAAGATTGGAAACAGCAGAGAAAATTATTTAAAGCCCTTTGACATCCATGAAAGATTATAAAGACATCCTGAATGTACAATGGGGGGTATGCAAAAGGTGCTGGAAGGAACTTCCGCCAGACTTTCCTTTAATGCCTCTGCAGAATAACAATTAAGTAATTCTGTATAGAATGCCTCTTTCCTGAATTCCTCAGCTGGCTCAGCCAAAGGTTTTAGGAATGGATTGGTTCCCGTGAGCAGAAATGCCAAATATATCTCTGTTTGGATATAATGTGTTGAATGGGGGACAAAAGGCTTTGGACTGCCTTGAGCCTACCTGCTACTGTAGGCAGTGGTCAGTGTTTCTGTCCTGTTTTCCTTGTTACCAGGTCAAGAAAAAATATGCATCTATATTATTTAATTACCTGAGACTGCTTCAAGCTGCCTCTCTTTCTTTAAAAATTCAAAGTTGTTCATAAAGCAAAATAATTTGGAAAAGTGTATGTACTGTATAAATACAGTCCCTGAGTAGTGTGACAGTTTTCACCTGCAGTGGAGCAGATTTTGCTTTGTTCAGTGCTGCTAGTTTGCTTTGCTTGGTTAAAGAAGACGTCATGACGTAGTTTAGGACAGGGAAATAAATTCTTTTCTGCGGCATGTTTACCAGTCACTTAACCCTTTTGTAAGTGGCTCATCTATAAAATAGATAGACCATAAGAAATAGACCCTAGCACCTTACCTGCTTTTGCAAAATATTTTGAAAGCACAGTGTGATTTTAAGGATTTCATTGTGTCCCACTAGATGTGCCCTTCTCATCTTCTCCAATGTAGATCTTAATTTTGTCAGCACATTCATCTCTTTCAAACCCTTTGAACATTCACTTTCTCTTGGCTCACCTTATGCATTAATTGAATACACTGAAATTTGTTGAGGAGGATGATTCAAAATATGTTTCTGCATTCTACCTAAGTGCTTTGAGTTGGATCTTATGGACATTTAATGCACAATGTACTTACTCCCTGTAATTTTTTTTTATTATTCCACTATGTTACTGTGTTGCTAAGATCATGTTTCCCATCTTTTTAGAAAAGAAAACCACTATCAGGTAATGATCTGGAGCTGTCACATACTGTTTTGTGTCACTGTTTCTCACCTTGTCTGTCTTCTGGACAGATATTCAGCCTACTACAAGTAGGTGTGAATCCATTGACCTCAGTGAGGCTGCCCTTTTTCACGCTGGCTGAAAAGCTCTTCGGCTCGGTCCACAGTATTGCTCCTTGTGTTTATATAAATTCAGGAAGGTGCAGTATCAGGCACTATAGACTGCAAACTTAAAAAATAATCTTTAAGAACCTGGGAACTATGAATTGTGTGCTCCAATCCCATAGATTATGAGGCAAGGTTTAATCTAAGTCCAAGAACAGAATCCTAGGTATTCTGTTGTCCCTATGGAAGCACAGACGTTCACTGATGGACGGCCAGTGTGAGGTGCCATTAACCATTTTATGGAAAATAATCTGTGTCTCTGCACTTGTGGCTTACAGAGCAAGGCTAGCATATACATGGCTCTTCTGGGAGGATGGCTCAAATGCCTGCCCTGCGTTCCGTAGGAATCCTTGTACTCATTCTGCACTTGCTTTGCCAAACAGGCTGCTGCTTCATTTCTTCTATGCAGCAAGTTTAAAATTTCATCACAGTTACGGTCCTCGTTTGTCATCCTTTCTCCCAAGCCAGTCTGCTCTTAGTGACTTCACTGCTTCTGCCAGTTCCTTAGGTGGAGATGGCTTAAATGGGTGTAACCAAAATGAAAAATGTAGCTAAATTGGGTGATTCAGAATAGGATGAGATAATGTGGCAACTGGCACTATTTTAAGCATTCTCTGCTTTGTTTGTCAGACTCTAAATGTATCAGGCACTAAAGAAAATCTAATGGTAATTGTGGTCCAGTTTCTCCCCGATGTAGTCAGGTTGTAAATCAAAAAATCTGCTTTGTGGAGCTCTGAAATAAACACACTCAGGCAAACTTAGAACCCAGAACTGACTTTAAATGTATTCAAATGAAGAAAATAGGGCTCCCCTCAGAAGAGACAGAAAGGAAAGAATATGGTTAAATATGGTATCTTTGAAGTGTTTCTGTTATGCCTTCTTACTGTGCTTCTGCTTTCTCTACCCCTAGCTTTCTTTGGAAAGTACCTCAATGAATACAATGGCTCCTATGTGCCTCCTGGCTGGAAAGAATGGGTTGGATTACTCAAAAACTCTCGATTTTACAACTACACACTCTGCAGAAATGGAGTGAAGGAAAAGCATGGATATGACTACTCCAGGGTAGGTCCTATTGATTTATTTCTATTTTTTTTAACATGTGCACGTGACTGCAAGAAATCTGCACTTTATGGTTTCAGTCTAAAGAAGTCTTTTCCCACTTCAAAAGCTGCTACATGTAACATTAGCTACAACCCAACAGGCATGGTGTTTGGACTTTTCCTTGTCTTCCATTCCAGGAGGGTCACATTACTGAAAACATTGTTAGCAGCAGTGGAAACAAACAAAACATCCTGAGCCTGTATTATGAGCTGAAGATGTGAAAAATGGATTTAAATGCTGCATGATAACTATTTCTGGGCTTTGTACTATAATTATTGTCTGCGGAGTCTGATTGTCATCTACTCCCCTGGTATATAACTGACTCCAGTGGAGTTACACAAGCGTAAATGAGATAAGAATCCAGTTCCCTCCAGCTAGACCAATCTTTTTTTGTTAGTTTAAAGAACTTATATCACCGCCATAATATAGTGGAGAATTATTAATATCTTGGTATATCTTACGGTAATTCTGAATTAATGGAGAATTTAACTATTAATTTTATATCTCCGTGCATTGTTAAAGGCATCTATGGTTCCTAGTATCCTTGCAAGGATACTATACCCTGACCAAACTTACTGACATTCTTGATAATCATTGTCAAATGCAGTATCATTTTTATTCCTCATCTGGCACATGTTACAGCTGAAACAGTTACTTGTTTGTAGTCAGGAGTTAGTTTATTTCAGCCAAAAGCCTTTACCTTTCCAAAGGAACCTGCTTTTGTGAATTTCTAAAATGGCATGAATGGTCTCTGAAGTGTGATGATAAATAAAGTTATCCATAAACTGCTGTAGTTTAAGTAGTGTATATCTTAGGAGGTTAACTCACGCTGGAGTGACACTAATTTGTAAGGTGTATTTGCTTCCCAGGGATTCATTTTGCTTTCTCTTACTGAGAGCAAATCCTTCCTCTGTATTTGTGTTTCATTAGCAATGTGTTCACAGTCAGTTTTTCGTCTAAAAGTCTGATGTCTGTGTGATTTCTCCTTCCCCTTCCCTATTTGCCATTTTTAATTGAACGTACTTTGTTTTGAGAGATAAAGTGTAACCGGCATCTAGGGTTTCCTTTTCTATCACCAGCTGCTAAGGGGAAGGGGCAACTGATGTGCAGAATTATTGGTCTTTTATTTCTTTTCTGATCTAATGAGGGAGCTAATCGTTACAGCCATGTGCCAAAAATGTTATGATGGAAATATGTCTTAAGTGGAACAGTCTCAGGCGAGTGATTTCACGGGGCACTGTTCCCTGTTGTACCAAGGAGCCAACAGGGAACTTCATGTTCCAATATCCTCAGCTCTGTTTTGTGTATGCAGTACTTGAAAACGTTAAAGTTTTCATTTGCTTTAGTTTTTCTTACCGAGTTTGGTAAGAATTTTTTTTTAAAGTCTGACAAAAATATAAATGTTTTTATAATCTTCATATTCTTGTATAATACACAGCTATGCTAATAAACGGATGATTGCGTGCAGAGCAACAGCACTTGTTGATGTTAAAATGAACAACAGAAGCTGAAATACAAGACTGCTTCTTTCTTTCCAGCCATTTTTGTTGCTGGAAACTTAATTTTCCAGCAATGAACAATATAATCAGATTATTTTTTAGCCCTATCTAGTTGACAGTTAATTATGTGCCAGTGGAAAACTAGCAAAAAACATTACTGATTCTGTCCTCCGAAGCGACTGCTAAGCACTTTTCCTCTGAAAATCAAGTCTTTACAAATTATTCCAGATTTTATAACAGGTTATGTTCTACTTTATCTATTTCAGTGTCTTTCAACATTTTTAGATGATTTTTTAGTTTTGTATGCATGTGCACAGTCTACTACAACCTCTACCATTTGGAGCTTTAAAAAAACCCAGAATTCAGTTAAGGGAAATGTTTCTCTTGGTCTTTTGGCCTGGTAAACACTGGTTTGCAATGTTAAATTTGAATGATTTTCACTCTGACCAGGTGAAAACCTTAATCTTCAAAATGGAGTTTGAAAACTGCTCTTGTAGTGTGGCTGGATCAGAGATGAGCTACACACTTAAGCAAGTGACCTTAAAGAACAGGCCTGTTTTAGATAAACATCAGTGCTGGTTTTGAGAGCACTGCAGTATTCTAGGCTCTGCGTATGGTCTCAGGTATTGAAAGTACCTTCAGAAGTCAGCGTTGCTTTGGTCTGGCTTATTGTACGCTCTCCTTTCCCCTGCATATGTTATGAATGGGTGTCCTTTGGTTGACTTTGATGGCATTATGCCTATTTGCACCTCTTTTCATGAGTGGAAGTATGATCAATAACAGTCATAATCATGGCAGTTTCATAACAGGCATGCCTCATGTTGGGACCAATATGTAAAAATATAAATGGAGACTTAGACAGCCTTGTTCTGGGATACACAGGAAATAACTTGGGGAAAGTAAACGCAGTCAGTGAAAAAGGCTTCCTTTGATGAATGATAAGCTGACTTCTCAGCTCAAGGATATTGGCAGCAGTAAAGATGAGCAAGTGTCTGAACCACAGACAGAAAGCTGTACTTACAAGGAGATGCAATCCAATCTGTACCACACCGTGTACTTGTTCACTTGACCAGAGGCCGATGTTACGCCTGATTTCACATTCAGCTGTGACATGACAGTCATTGTTTTGCTTTTTAAAGATGCAGTTTCATATGCTTCTCAAGTTTGAGGCATATTTATATTTGCAGCATTTCCTGTGATGCAGTCTAAGAGAGAACGTAGTTTATCATTAGAAATATTGTCTTCAATCCATATCTGCCCCAGCCGATATCAGAAGAATAATGATACGACTTAGGAAGATAGTCCCTATCTTCCACAGGAAGTTTTCTAAATTCTCAGCAATTTATTTGATAGAGCTGTATGTCTATCAGATTGTCACTGGGTCTGTAATATTGAATGAAATTTTTGAACCAATTAGCCCAACATTTTCTAGCTTTAGTGACTCTGGTTCAGAAGATTAAGAAAAATTACCTTCAAGCCATTTGGATTTTCAGAGGCTTCTATGATGTAAGTTTGGACTATACACCTTGAAGATATTGACAACAAAAAGCAAAGCAATTGACCTGCAATTTTATATTTTTGCTATTAATACCTGGTCATTGTATTTAGTATTGTGATATTCATAATGGAATTACACATTCTGGGAAGAAGTAGTCCTATCTGATCTTCTTTAATGTCATAGAATCATAGTGTGGTTTGGGTTGGAAGTTACCTTAAGGATCATCTAGTTCCAACCCCTTCCACTGGACCAGGTTGCTCTATCCATGTCATTCACTTCTGAGAGGAAAGTGTTGCTTTTCATATTTCTAGGCAGTGAAGAAAGACTTATTTTGGTTTAGTTTTTGAAGTTTTAACATCCCTAACGTACTCCCCCCTCTTCCCGTTCTGAGTGAAATAGCTTCTCTTTTCCTGTTTCTTGTGATACCTCAGACCTCCCCTTCCCATCTCACTCCCAAGTTTGAAATTATTTTTCAGTTATCTCATTATACTTTCACTTCTACTTGCAGGATTATCTAACTGATCTGATTACCAATGACAGTATTACCTTCTTCAGAATCTCAAAGAAGATGTATCCTCACAGGCCTGTGCTGATGGTTATAAGCCACGCTGCTCCTCACGGCCCTGAAGATTCAGCTCCTCAGTACTCACATCTCTTTCCTAATGCCTCACAACACATGTAAGGAAAAATAAAACCCTCTCATTTCCAGGTTCAGGAGTATAGAAGTCCTGGGTATCTCTGGGGAAACAATGTTTGCTTAATAATATTTTTGGTATAAATCTGTCACAAATATAGAAGAAGAGTTTTGAGGGTGGGGGTTTTTGGGTGTTTTGGGGTTTTTTTTTAACCTCTTCAGACTAGTTCAAGTATCTTGAGAGTGGATTCTGCATCTAGAGCTCAGAATTGTATCTTACTGACATAAATGGAAGGATTCATATTGAATTCATTGGACATTATTAAAAGCTGTATGGGAAGTTAAGCATTGTTTTGTTTTGAGCAGGAGGATCAAAATCTGGTTCTTGGGCTGTAAGCTCTTCCAGGGAAGCAACTCTATCTCCCTGTCATTATGCAGAAGCTGTATTGTTTTATGGGTATATCAAAAATCACATAATATACAATATTTATTACCTGTTTTATATATGGAAAGGAAGGAAATACAGACCTGCAGCACCAAATTAGACAGGCTATTTCTGAATAAGCTGGTATGTCTGTACATGACCCCGTACAGTGTCTTGAACGGGTCTCAAAAGCAGTATCGCCCAGTTACTGAGTGAACATGTTCATAAGCTCCAGTGAAACACCATGATGAGATGGTTCTGGTTTATAGCACAGAGACATTTTATGGGTACAGCTCTGTAATGCTTCATGACAGGCATCCCCTCGCATGCTGATAAAATGAATGATTCTCCCAAATTGCCTTTTGGCACAACTGACAACATTCCGATATTTTTCTAATTACTGGCTTCATGCCATCATTGATGTCCAACATTTGTAACTTCCTTCCTCTGTGCCCTTTTTTTATATTTTCAGTTTGATTTTTTTTTTAAAGGGAAACTCTGTTTACTTTGGCTTTGTGAAGGAACTGGAAACTGGTGGAAATAATAATCAGTTGCTAGCCGAAGCTGCTCAGGCCTGGCCCAAAGTCCAGTGAAATCTATTTGACCTTTTTCACTTTATTTAAAATAGATTCTGAAAGAAAAAGCTTCCTTTGTTCTATTGTCTAGGTATTGCATAACTTAGAAGTATATATTTCATTATTTTGGGCTGTGCTACTGAAGAGAACGTGTGTCCTAGATCTCCAGCAATGCAGTATTTCATGTTTGTTTGCCGTCTTATGCTCATTTATTTTCTTTGAAATGAAAATTACAAAAATGCCAAATGAGCAACTTCTGCTATAGCTTATACCCAGTATTGACCTCCGTCTTATTAGAAGTTCTTTTGGAAGACATTCATATCTCGGAGAAGATAATCATTCATCAAGCAACATTCTGTAGCATTTTAATTATGCTGGCTGAATGAAACAGAGTGGAAGGATTTGAGGAAGGCCAGCAATGAAATATATCAACTACAGCTATTTCTCTTTTTCTCATAGTATAACTTTTCTTTTGCACACAAACTAGGTTTATCTTCCTGATTATAAAGTCTATAATACTATTTGTAATTGCAGGTGCCTTTTCTTACCATGCTGACAGTTACACAGGGAGGTGTCACTTCATGGAAACAAGTTTTGTTTGTGCAGAAACCAGTTAACATAGTAGATTAAGGAACTGTGTTCTTTTAGATATGACCAAAAGATTTTATGTACATCTTGTGCAAAGAAACTGCCAATCTTGTAAACAATTTTTACAGCACTGCACAATAATGATAATCTGTAAGGATTTTCAGTGGTCGGGGTTTAAGATTAAATACAAAAACATGCATCATACCCTCACTGCATGTACAGATTAGTTCTCTGCTTTCCATTTTTCCCCTGTTCCCACATTCCAAGGAATCCCTCAGTGACAGATGAATCAGTCAGTGCCAATGGGATGGAGGTAGTTCTGTAGTCATGTGGGTAAGGTAGGGAAGGATGAAAAGGCAGGTAGAACACGACCTATGATTTGCTCTAAAGCAGCGAGCAATGCCCCAAACAGAGCCTTTGCCTGGTCGCAGCACCAGAAAGCAGAATCCACGTGTGGCAGCGCTGACAAAGTCTGCAGGCGGGTTCTTGAGCTGTACCCGCAAAGCAAAGCGAAGGGGTGACATACATACTGCTTTGCGTAGCGTTGCTAATAATAGCTGAAAGTTAGCGTGTGGAGTTTAGCACAGACTGAGAGTAACGCTTTTGCTTGGGATCCCTGGTTTGTACTTCTGTTGCTAATTTATGCCGTGATTCTCTTGCTTCTATTATTACACCTACTAGGTGGTATGACTGCAGTCTCTCCATCTCGTTCTGTAGAGCTCCTTTTTGTGTGCATCTGCAGTCTTTTGTCTGAAAATCATTCACATCAACCAGAACTCGCATAAGCAAATCCCTAGGATGGTTTTCCATTTTTACTGCCTGCACCGATAGCTGCAGAGAATGTAACAGCTGGGCAGTTTAACAGTGATCAGAAATGTTATTTCTGGAGAGGGGACATTTTTACCACCCATCTTTTCCAAGGTCAAATGCAATCAGGCTAGGACTTATCTTCTGAGTACATTTGAAGAGGTTATCTTAACCAACTTCTAGGGATGTTATATTTGTGTACTTTTCCCGTAAGACAGACGAATCTGTTAAGTATAAGAGGGTTACATTTGTAGTAATCAAAGAAAATCACGGGCTTTGGATGGATTAAACAGCAGGAGGTTTCAAATCAGCCAGGAAATCACAAAGTAAGCTGAAAAGGAGTTTGCCAAGCATTTTTGATTCATTCTGGGCATCACATAGCAACAGTTTCCATAACTGTCAGCATTTTCAAAGGAGCAATGTCATTATTTCAGCCACAATCACATTCTGAAATTCAAGAGGCTATTAACAATGCAGAGAGAATAACACCAGCCCTTTCCTCCCTATATGAAGAAGCCTCCATTTGCCGCCTACGCACATTTTTCGGATAGCATCTAACAGAGGTTTTCGCATAAAACATTGCACTGTCAGATTATTAATTTCATATTTATATTACAACTCTTTACCTGTCATATTCAAAGATACATTAGATACACAGTATTTTGCAGAGAAGTTTCAACTTATATTACTGTTGTTTATCTTAATAACTTACTCTGCTGCTCTGTTAAATACACAAAACCAACAGTAGCTATTTGCCAAATAGGAGCTGAATTTATCAGGAAATTGTGTGTTGGGAAGAAGAAAATAACTGAGTATCTGCTATTTTTTCCTGTGTTACTGTGTTACCCTCTTGGCTTGCACATTTACGAACACTGAATTTATTACTTTGAATGAAAAAAGGAAGCCTTAACAAATCACTTAGGAAAAGTAATTTGTAATATTTTAGACTCTGCAAGTGATGTGTTTGAGACAGGATCTGACACAACTGACAAGGATGATTCTCAATCTTAAGTAATAACCAACTTTTTAGAAATAGATATAGTAGGGAAAAATAATAGTTCTTGCAAGTGTAAGCTGTTTGATAGCTTTCTACTGAATTGGTGATGCAGAGAGTCAACGTCATGGTAATGATACACCAAAAGAAATCTTTTTTTTAGATCCACCTAACCTACAGCGATTTTACTTATGCGTAGAAAAGAAATCTCTGGTATTGCCAACAATCTGAACTTACTGACAAGGGATATTTCTCCTCATCACTTTAATGGTGTCACAGGATCATAAGAACTTGGAGGTTCTGTGAGATTCCAGGAGGACATTGAATCTAGCTCTTGGGATTTTGCAGGGGCTTGCAAGTTTTTGATGAACACAAAGGAGTTGGTGGCTGGAAAGTGTCTGCAAAATACAGTCCTATTTCCCCTCACCCCTGCTTTTCTTGGCAGGTCTTTAAAATCCGGCTATGTATCCACTCCTGCTTGCCATGAGCTCACATGCAGTTTGATACCACCAGGTAGGGTGCCTGTGCTCCTCTGGGTACATGAGTGTGAAAGTTTTCAAGTCGCCAGTCATGTTGAATTTAAAAAAAGCTGTTAAAGCACATGGTAGAACCTTGTTAAACAGCTTATGCAAGCCATAATATTTGGTGCTAATATGGGCAGAGTGAAAGCAAAGCAATTACATGAATAGGAACTCAATAGTATATGCTTCATCCAGATCATACGTGTGGAGTTAGACTTCCGAGACTAGTCTCTTGGCCTTGACAAGTATCCGTGGTAGTCTGAAGACACCGCAAAAGCAATGTATATTTACTCTTTTAATAGATTTTATTCCCCACAGAGTTATTTTTGTTCTCCCATCTTTCATATAGAACACAAAAGTATAAGGCTTTTCCGAAGCAGATCTAATATTTTCTTGGGCACCTCCAAGACAGAGTCCTGTAGTGTTGAGCAAATAGAAATTATTGGTATACATTGCTATGACTTTTTTCTACGCTGCTAAAACACTCCTTTTTCCTCTCTGTTCCTTAGCACTCCTAGTTACAACTATGCTCCAAACCCAGACAAGCACTGGATAATGAGGTATACAGGTCCCATGAAGCCTATACACATGGAGTTCACCAACATGCTGCAGAGAAAGCGCCTTCAAACACTCATGTCTGTGGATGACTCTATGGAGATGGTAAGATTAGTAGTCACTTTTGTTTTTTGATTAAACAGGTGCTTGTTTCTTGAGTTAAACTCCCAAGCTGTGCTGCATATGAAGATAGGAGGGAAAGAAGGGGGAGAACTGCATCCATTTTTTAAGTATGTAACCCTCTCACCTCTGAGAATTTGTCTTTCTATTCACTGTGTAAGAATCCTCATCTCCTAAAGACAGGTCCCATGAGTTGGGTGGTGTAAGTGAGCTGATTTGTTGCCACAGAGCTACTACTGATTAAGGGGTAGAGGGAGGCATCACCTGAAAAAGTGTCCATCATAAAATCTGAAAATGAAAAGTCATCCTAAAACGTGTGGGAAATTACCCAACTGTGGGCCTGTTTTGATCCTGTAACACTGAGTTTCCAAGAGAACATCAACACAAAGTGATGCTACTGGAGTCCTAACTGGAAAAAATCCCATGGTAAACCAGGCCCAGGATGTTAAATGTTATATGTAAATAAATACATAGGTAGCTGCTTTTTTTTTTTCTTTTTTTTTTAATGAAGCATGCATTACGTAACAACAAAATCTTTTAGTGCAGGCTGGGTGTCTTGAACAAAATGTCTGAGTTAGCTAAAAGCTCTGAAAAAGAATGGGTATCCAGTTGTAGGAAGGCAGATTTAAAGCTGTTGCAATTTACTGCTTATCTCTTAACATTCTTATTCAAAAAAGGTAGAACATTAAAGTAAAGGGAGTCCTGTAAGGCAAAGATGAGATTATCTGGATGGCATTGCATCAACTTGTTAGTAATGTCTTACAATTACTGATTCAGGCAAGTATGATCTCTGCTTCCTATTAATGAACCTATTTAGATGGATCAGATCCCAGCATTAGGGGAGACTGGCTATTTTACTACACTATTTTGATTTTCTATTTAGTAAAACATTTTACTTCAGGTGGTTCACTACAGGCAAAATCAGTTGAGTTGTTTCTGAGTTATAATTGCCAAATTAGCTTGATCTTTTCTACTGAATTACATGCACCTCATAGTCTTTCAATATTTAAAAAAAAAAGGCCACCAAAACAACAAAATAGTTTTTCTTCTGTGCTGATGCATTCTGGATCTGTGTGAGGCACCACTTTGGTGGTGTCTCCCACCACTTTTGTACCTTTGCAAGTGAAAATGTTGCATAAAAGTTGACCTGCGGTGCTCAAGTTGGTACATTTCACATAAAGATTGTCATGTAAATCCATAGAGGCAACCCCAAACAGGGTTAAAGTTCTTCTTATAACTCTCCATGTTATCTGTCCAGCTAGTGAGAGGGTATGACCGAGTGATATTATCTGGAAGAGGTTTTGGAAATATTCTGCATAATGGGGACTCGTTTGCCTGAAAGCAGGGTCACTGAGTGTTGCTTAAATAAGTATGAGATTCAAAGTGCTGTCATTTTATTGAAATTGTTTGCTGTGGGGGAAAAAAAGAAAGGTGGAGAGAGAACTGCAAAAGTGCATGTCAACTTGAAACTTTTATCTCTGTTACCATATGTATTTAGTACTCTCTTGACAGCTCTCATGCAAAATACTGAACCCAAACGCTTTTGGAAACATGGCATGCTGATGTGTTTTACCTTAAAACAGAAACCAGAAGGTTGCCTTGTAATAGCCACAATATTAAATTAGTAAAATTATGACGGGATTATGGCTTATTCAGAATGTTTCATTGTGATACTCGGTGCCATCCTGAACTGTTGTTATTTATTTGTACGCTACACGTAGGCAGCGAATTATATCTATTATTCTACCTACAGTACTACTCAGTGGAATGAAATTCATATTTTGTTTTCCTTTTTTTCAGATTTACAATACGTTGGTTGAAACAGGTGAACTGGACAATACATATATAATATACACAGCAGACCATGGTTATCATATTGGGCAGTTTGGGCTGGTGAAAGGAAAGTCCATGCCATATGAATTTGATATCAGAGTTCCTTTCTATGTCCGAGGTCCAAATGTGGAGGCTGGATCCTTGTAAGTTCTTGGCTAGTGTGTGTGTGTGTACATAGTGACCAGAAAAATCCTTTATATTCCCATCTCTAGTTGTGTTGACCTGGCACCCAAACAGAGGCACGAAGTTCTGCCCATACTGACTGTCTTCCTGCTCATCTTCAGCAGAAAAATAAGCCTACACAGATAGCAGAACCAACAGTGCGTGCTGGTCTAACATAGTGAAGGGTTTAT